TTTTATATGATGATTTATGTACAACAATAATCCTATTTTCCTAAACGATATCTCTTTTTTTTTTTTTTTCTATGAGACTATGCTAAACCATATAATTATAGATTATCTAATAACATCGTTCAAAACATGATATTTCAAAATAACCAAGTATAAAAGATAAATAATTTTTAACATTACCAAAATAAATAACCAACCATCGACGTTTCAGTCCTTGTATATTCTATCATACTTGCATACCAAAGAATGAAAAAAGGACTGAAGAAACAAAACTCTTCTCGTTAATACGTAGAAGAAACTGGAAGGAACGAATGAAGTAAATGCAAATCCAACTACTAACAAATTCTACTTAATCATCATTTTCCCCATCTCAAATCCCTATATAAATCCATCATCACTTCACACTTTTCTCACATCCAAAACAAACCACAAGAAAACAAAACTCACTTAAATCTCCAAACTTATCACCAAAAAAAAAAAAAACAAACACAATGGCTTTAGCTCTAAGGTTCTTCATACTCTTTGTTTTGACGGTGTGCATAGTTGCATCAGTAGATGCAGCAATCTCATGCGGCACAGTAGCAAGTAACTTGGCTCCATGTATCAACTACCTATCGAAAGGTGGGGCAGTACCACCTCCATGTTGTGCAGGTGTCAAAAATTTGAACAATATGGCTCAAACCACACCGGACCGCCAACAAGCGTGTCAATGCCTACAATCCGTTGCGAAAGGAGTTTCTAGTCTCAACCCAAGTCTAGCCTCTGGTCTTCCTGGAAAGTGCGGTGTTAGCATCCCCTATCCGATTTCCATGAACACTAACTGCAAAAAGTAAGTATTTTTTTTTGTTTGGCTAATTATTCAATCTAAACAACATGATTAATTTGTAGCTTAGAATTGTATCTAGTGCCAAACTCATGGTCTTGATTGTTTGTATTGTTGCAGCATCAAGTGAAGTGGGAATAAACTCATATATCATCGTTTGGATGAAAACTATGGTTTAGCATAAATAAATAAAGAAAACGTCTATGTACGCTCTCATTTCAGCATGCCCTAGTTTTTCTTGTTACTTTGTAATATTTTGCTTTCCTTATGCTGTATCTTAATCATGTTTAAGATATGATATCAATAGTACCGTAATCTTCTTCTATTATATATTTTCTCCAACACTTCTTACAAAACAAAAGTAATTTTCCTTAGTCGTTGACAAAAAAGGATGGTGACTTAATCGGTAAAGAGCATATAACCATTCATAATCATACAGTATAGTCACATAACCAATAATCTTGGGTTTAAAAGATATAGAAGTAAAGAAAACGCAAAACCATATCAAATAAATTTAGACACATTTTCAAGTAGAGTGATGCAGCCGAAGGTGTGAAATGAGATCGATAAAGACATCAAAGTCTTGATCAGATCGTTGTCGTTGATCCCCAAAACCAGAGTGTAAGCATCTCCGGTTTAAGGTTATGTTGCTTTTCTTGAAGACTTGAAGCTCTGTTTCAGATAATAATAGTGTTGATGTGCCCGATGAGTGAATCAGCGGATCCAATTGAATTACGATTCAGCTAAAAAGGTTGGAAAGGAATCAGTTGCATAGATAATGCATGTGCCTTATCAAAGGAATTGTGATGAATCATCGAACATCATGCAAAACCACTTTAACAAAAACCTAAGAACAAGTTATCTTTCTCTATTGGTTTGACAAACTATTATATGTGTTGTGATGGAGCGGAATCATCGAATGCGTGCTAATAACAATTTTGAAAACTCAAATCAATAACATTATCTTCTAAATTATGGAAAAATCAAATTCACG